AAGCTGGAAGACAACATCCCAAACCAATTCCTAGTGGAAGAATTTCTGCGTAATATGGGAAACATATTTGACATTTATATCAGGTAGCTTCACCTCTTATCACAGTGCAGCTTCCCAGATGCTAACATGTAGAGGTCTGCTCTATGAGTAGGCTTTTCCAAAATTATATGGAGGTAAACTAGAAAATAAATTGCAACAACCAGATAATATAAATTAAACAATGGGATTTTCTCGTGTGCTTTGTGGAGGAAAGTTTTTTGGCATTATGTATTTGCACACGTGTATTTGCATAGGTGTATTTGTACATTGACGGGGAGACAGGCAACAGGTTAGCAAAGGCATACAGTGCCTTCAGAAAGCTTCATAAAAGAGTTTGGTGAAATAAACACCTGAAGAAAAGTACCAAGATCAGTGTTTACAGAGCCACAGTGCTGTCTGCTCTCTCATATGGATCTGAATCATGGGTCATCCACCGCCACCACCTGCGACTCCTGGAACGCTTCCATCAACGCTGCCTGCGAACAATCCTGAACATCCCCTGGTCAGATGATGTGACCAATCCATCTGTTCTAGAACAGGCAGCAGTCACAGGTATTGAAGCCATGTTGCTGAGAACACAGCTGGGCTGGGCAGGGCACGTCTCCAGGATGAAGGACCAACCACCCCCTCCCTAAGATCTTGCTTGATGGTGAACTTGCCACCGGCTGCTGCAAGAGAGGAGCCCCAAAGAGGAGATACAAGGACTGCCTGAAACAACATCTCAGCCTTGGCCATATTGATCAACAGAACTGGTCTACTCTGGCCTCCAATCGGGAGCTCTGGAGACACCCCATCTCTAACGCTGCTGATGCCTTTGAGAAGGCAGCAGGATCACCCTTGAGGAGAAAAGACAGCGCAGAAAGAATCGTGTCTTGCAGAATTTACCACCTAGGTATGGCCACTCCCCACTGGGCATGTGTCCTATATTCCTTTGGCTGTATCTTTAAAAGCAAAGTGAGAGAATTTTATACCAATCAGCAACAAAGATATTCATTACTAAAATCATTGAATGATATTAGTAAACATAACTAAGCATAAGAAATAGTATAAAAATAAGAATGAGAGAAAAGTTAGGGAAGACTCCATTGTAACTGCTGGGCTCAGTCGATGAGCTGAACCCATCTTCTCTCCCACAGGGATGTCTATTGGGTAAGAACCATACTCTATGCACTGAATGCTTTTATTGGGATTAGAGCTTGTCTGTATATTGCTTTAAATATGTTTTTGCAGTCAGATACTATCACTGGAAATCCTTGAACCTTAACATGTCATCAATAAACCTGGGGAGAAGTTGGTCCCATGCAGCCACTGCTCAGAGACTGAGCATCAGTCTGCTGGTGGCAGATGGTCAGTGATTGCCTTTCCATCACTTGTTTCTTTACTTTTCTCTTTCTTTCACTTATTAAACAGTTTTTATCTTGACACATGGGCTTTTCTCACTTTTGTCCTTCTGGTTCTCCCCTCCACCCAGACTGTGGTGGGGACTGAGTGGGTAGCTGGTTGCTATTGGCTGAGGTAACTCACCAAAAACATTACTTTTAAATGCAACTTTACCCCTAAGGAAAGACAGTGCCATAGCAGCTAAAAAAGAAATCCACTACTTGATACACCTAACATGGATATGCAGATTGCTGATGAGATTGGCAGCAACTACAGTACTGTCAACACACTATTCCAAGTAATTCTTCAGTTTTTGTTTTCTTAAAGCACTGTCAGCTTTGCTGTTTCTGTAAAATATCCTATGTTCTGAATAATTACCTTTCTGCTAGCTTCACAATTTCAACAGTTAGATTTTTCTGCTCCATGAAAATTAACAGAGTTTGGTCTCTAGGCAACCCCTAAGACTGAGAGTTCCTATATCATTCACTTCTAATTACTACTTTTTTCTCATCACAGTACAACAATACTTCTTAATGTTGTCTGAGCAGATTTTATTCTTACCAGTTTCTAATTTATGCTACTAGGTTAGAAGATCTCACTGTTTACCATATTTTTCTCTTTATTCAGAAATACTGGTGTTCTCCTAATTATTATTAGAACAGCATGTAGAAATCAGCGTTTTGTTATTAGTTTTCCTACTGCCAACTGGTTTGCAAATTGCTTTTTTTTGTTTTAAAATGCGGTTCATGAATTGCAACAAAAAGAATACCACCCATTGTGCTCAGTGAAGAGTTTATGAAAGCAATTTTGTTTGATGGACATTTAAGCATTTGTACATCTGCTTTTAGTCTCAAAGCGTTAGGTACTTTCTTGTAAAGTGTGTCAATACTAGTTAGGTGATGGATATGTTTGCTAATGTCAGGACATACATCTACCCACCGCTGAAAATCAGGGTTAGACAGAAGACTTGAGTGATGAAACACAAAGGAAAATTTCAGTTATTCATTAACTGTAATTATTCCATAGTTACAGTACGGAACGGGGAACAAAATACAGAAAGCAGATATTCTGTTTTGCACGACAACTCCCAAAAGCAAAACATTTTAGTATGTTTAAAAGAAGAAATATGAGTGCAACCTTCAGGCACACATTAAAGCTATCATGATGAAAAAAACAGCCTTGAACACTGGACTTTCTTTTATTACCACGGAAAATCTTACCCAAGACAAAATGAATATGTTACACTCTGATTTTAGAAGTGTAATGGATGTTCAACTTCTACAGTGATCAGGAATGGATATTCTTCTTTCAGTGAGCACTGATTACATCCATTCAGTGTTTGTATCATCAACACATTAGCTCATTAACAAATCATAAATTAGAGTAGATACAGTATCTGTCACCTAAATGAACACTTGTCTCAGATCTCACATGCCATTTGTATTCCTCTAAATACATATAATCAGAAAAAAAAAGTTTGCAGAAAATATTCTAGAATAACAAGTAAAAATATATTTCTAGGCACCTCTATGGAGGAGTCTTCAATGGTCAGATTACAAGTGCTTTGCTCATACACATATTAAGGACAAATTAGAAGTTGAAGAACTCTTTCTTGCACAACAAATCTGTTGCCAAATCCCCATTCACTTCTCATCCCAGACATCTGTAGATTTAAGTCTCAAATTTACAGTCAGAAGAAGGGAGGGCTTGTTCTTTACTTGCCTGACCAGAAAATGCTCTTACTGAAGAAATTGTACTGTTTCTGTACAGTATATACTCTATAAATAGCTAAGCTTAAATACATGAAAATTAAATAAAATTTAATGGAAAGTAACTCTTATGGCAATATTCTTCCGAACAGCCTGATCTTATGTCTCTTAATGCCTACAGCAAATAACTAAAAGACAAACAGAGAAGGCTATTTATTATTAACTTATAACTACTACCAGTTAGGTTATTTGGTCTGTGAAAGAGCAGTTTATGTTCAGATATGAAAATAGGCCTATAATTAGAGAAATATTATATTGTTCTGTATTATTTATATTGCTTAGAATTATGTTGTACAGTAGATATTGTTCTCATGGAGTTTAGCTCTACAGCTTTTTTAGTTTCTTCACTGAAATAAAGTCTTATGAAAATTAGATTTTTTTTATCGGATTGTGAAAAGTCATAGAATCACAAAATCATAGGATATCTCAAGCTGGAAGGGACCCACAAGGATCCAGCTTCAGATTCATCACAAAACAGACTAAAACAAAACCATATGACCAAGAACATCATCCAGTTGCTTCTTGAAATCTGATAGACTTGGGGGTATGACCACTTGCCTGGGGAGTCTGTACCAGTGTCTCAATGAAGAACCTTTTCCTAAGGTCCAATCTGAATTTCCCCTGATGCAGCTTCATTCTATCACTGGTCACCAGAGAGGAGATCAGAACCTTCCCCTCTGCTTCACCCCTTGAGGAAACTGCAGGCTGTCATGAGATCACTCCTCAGCCTTTTCTTCTTCTTCTTCAAGCTGAATAAACCAAGTGACCTCAGCCACTTCTCATAAATCTTGCCCTTGGGACATGTCACCACCTTGCTCTCCCTCCTCTGGACACACTCTGATATTTTGATGTCCTCCTTACATTTTGATGCTCACAACTGCACACAGGACTTGGAGTGGGGCCTCACCAGTGCAGAGCAGAGTGGGACAATCACCTCCCTTGGCTGGCTGGTGATGCTGTGCCTGAGGTGCCCCAGGACACTTTTGGTCCTTTTGGCTGATAGGACACACTTCTGACTCACTCAGCTTGCCATCAATCCAAGCACACATATCTCTTTCCATGGGGCTGCTCTCCAGTCTCTTATCCCCCAGTCTGTATTTATAAGCAGAATTACTCCATTCCAGGTGGAAAATCTGGTGCTTGCTCTTATTAAATTGCACACAGTTGGTGATAGTCCAGCTCTCTAGTGTATCCCAATCTCTCTGTAAGGCTTCTCTACTCTCAAGAGGTTCCACAGCTCCTCCTCATTTAATATTATTTGCTAACTTACTTAAGGCATATTCAATTCCTGTGTCCAGATCATTTATAAAAACGGTGATATGGTTCGAAGCTGGCTCCCTGCCAAGTCTCCAAACCTTACCACAAGAAGCACCCCCCCCTAAACCTCAGGGAGAAGAGGGAAAAAACAACCAAGAAAACCGAAACGAGAGAGAGACAGCTAAAGCAATATATATAAATGTATTTACACTTATGTTACAGTTATATACAATTGAAATATATATATAATTTCACAAGGGAACGGGAAGGGGGAAGGGAAAAGGAACAAAACCAAAATAAAATATATATATATATATCCCGATTAGTAGCCCAATATCTAGCAACTAAAAGAATTGGCTAAAAAACTATCTCACTACTCTCCTTGGGACAACGGAGAGTCACGGTGGAACGCTCACCGGCACCCTCCGCCTCCCAGGGTGGACAAGGCCTCACCAGGCCTCGCTCCCCAACATGACAGACCCGACAGCAGGGAACCTGCACCTCCAAAGCCGCTGGAAGGGAAGAGAGCGAAGGCCTTTCCTCCTTTCTTCTTATAGTCTGGCTTACGTAAAAATTGTAGGGAATACTGGGTAAATCTGGGCCCTTCCTTGGTTACAGACTGGTCACCAAGTAAGGCCTAGACCAAACCACCACAACACTGAAGAGCAGTGGCCCTGAAACTGAGCTCTGGGGAACCCCACTGATGGCTGACCACCAGCCTGGTGTAACAGCCTTTACTACAACCCTCTGGACCAGACCCCTCCACCAGTTGTTCACCCACCACACTGTGGACTTCTCCATCTCTGTGCTGGACATTTTATCCAGAAGGATACTGTGAGAGACAGTACCAAAAGCTTTGCTAAAATCCCAAACCACCACATCTACCAGCTTCCCTTGGCCAGCTAGATGGGTGGCCTAGTCATAAAAGGAAGCTAGGTAAGCAAGATTTTACCTGAACCCAAGTATTTGTCACAGCCTCTGTGTGACACTGTATTTGTCACACAGAATAACAGCCTCTGCAATTTTGGCAGGCACTGAAGTGAGGCTGACAGACTTATAATTACCAGGGTCTTCCTTTTTACCCTTCCTGAAAACTGGGACACCCTTTGCTAGCTGCCAGACAACAGGGACCTCTCCAGACTCCCTAAGACCATTGAAAAATAATAGAGAAAGATCTCACAATGACATTGGCCATGCTTTATCTAGATCTCTATGTTTCTTCAGTAATTAGTATTAAAAACTTAAAGACAGAATATTTGTCTAGGGATGAAAGGGATAGCCTTGAGTATAAAAGAATTGTCAGGAAAATCAATAAGTCTTCCAGCTTCAGAGAAAGACTTAAAATTGTAAGCTTATTTGTTTGAGGTTTTTTTCATATTATAACAAAGATCACTAATGATTACAGGCTATGGAAATGATAGACATTGCCATTGTCGTGAATGGGTGAGTGGAGGAAATAAAAATCTTACTCTAGTTGAAAAAATGATATTAAATGAGGAGGAGCTTTGGAACCTCTTGAGTAGAGAAGCCTTACAAAGAGATTTGGATTCACTAGAGAGCTGGACTATCACCAATTGTGTGCAATTTAACAAGAGTAAGTACCAGATTTTCCACCTAGAATGGGATAATTCTGCTTATAAATACAGACTGGGGTTAATTCCACTGGGGCCCACGGACTTATATGGGCCCAGCTGGAGCAGCAAGTCTTGAACGAGTTCAGAGTCATCTGAACAGAGTCATCAGTTTGAGTCTTCCAGCTCAAACTCCAGTGGTCCAAGGGTCCATCATCAGTGTTCAATACAGGGGTAAAGAAGGAATTGATTATCTTTCTACATTCCTATTTGTGAAGTCACTGACCTCATCAAGTAATGGACTGGGTTAATTCAACTTGTTACTTTGACTTCCCTTGGTGGTTTTGGCATCCATTTCATTTCAGATTTTTTTTTGTGAAATGAAATCAACAGTGGTACAGGATCACACTAATATGTGGTTGAGTTTGGAACTGCCTTGCCACAATACTTTAATGCCTTTTAGCTGTTGTGAAAATTTTCTCTCACAGTTTCTCTGCAGAGACATCTGGTCTTATGACATTATCTAGACAAACAAAACTTCAAGTGTCATCTTATAGCAATCTGAGACAGCAATTTTGGTTTTATGGTCTAGACAATTTTTATTTAAATAATGTTAAAACACACTTTTGTCCTGACAACCAAACCCACCCTTTATTGACCCTGACTAATTCAATACAAAATGATGTCTTTTCATCTGAAATTTAGACAATAATGTTTGCAAATCTTTGTGTGAAAACTGATGAACTCATAATATTATCCATGTTTATAGTTAATAAAGTGCCTTCAATGCAGGCATACACAGTACAAGTAATAATTCTACCTCATTATTCTCAATAGTTTTAGAAAAATATGCATTTGTCAGGCATACTAATGCCTTCTGGAAAGCGGGTTTGGATAATATACACCACTTAGCAACAAAAACAACTTCTCCAATTTTCCTTCTAAGCCAGAACCAGAATAAAAACAAATAGGTAATTTGCATATCACAGCAAACAATTTGCATCAGAAGTATACAGGAGGAAGCAGCTCAGACGCACTGACCACTGCATTAACATTTTTGCTTGTTTCCTCTTCACAATCGGAAGAGAAAATACAATTAGGGCTGTTAAGTCACTGAACAATTTACTTTGAAAATCTCTTGTAGGCAGAAATGAGTAATTTTAACACATTACTGAGAGGACTTTCTTATTAATGTGCAGGTCAAGACAGACTTGTAAAATAAAAACACTGTAATGGGTAGAAATCGTGGCAAGAGACACAACATAAGAACTAAACAGAAAGATACAGAACAGTTTCTAGCATATATTTTAGGTGTCTTAAACACCAATTGGGAGGTTAAAACAAGTTGTTATGTGCTTTATCTAGATCTCCATGTTTCTTCAGTAATTAGTATTGAAAACTTAAAAGACAGAATATTTGTCTAGGGACAAAAGGGATAGCCTTGAGTATAAAAGAATTGTCAGGAAAATCAATAAATCTTCCAGCTTCAGAGAAAGACTTAAAATTGTAAGCTTATTTGTTTGAGGTTTTTTTCATGTTATAACAAAGATCACTAATGATTACAGGCTATGGAAATGATAGACATTGCTATTTCCTTGAATAGGTGAATGGAGCAAATAAACATCTCACTCTAGTTGAAAAAAATGTCACATCCCTCAGTCCTTTCTTTTTTACCTTGATATTATATGGAAAATTCAAACTTAACAAAACAATTATTATTTCTGTCAGGAAAAACAAGACAGAAATCACAGAGTGCTCTGTGAGCATACTTTACAGATAATTTCCTAAAGGAGCCAGTGTCTCTCCACAGCTTGGGAAGGACTCAATAATCTCTCAGAGGACTGACTCTGCAATGGGTTCACTGTATTCAGGGGCCTGAAGGAGTCAATTTTTTAACATTCCTTTTCATTAGTCTTTCCATTTTAATTGGCTATGAACAGAATGTCTCTTTGAAGAAATATAATGCAAAGGAAAAAGAATTAAGGATCGCAAGCAAGTTCCACGTATCTAAAAATGAGACATTTTCTTTTTGGACTGTATTTCTCTTGCATTTTTAAGTTAAATTTTCTTTTACTCCCCCCCCCCATTTTCATGAAATTACTACTCCATGATAATGGCATATTAGTTTTGCTCTTATTCTCTTAATATTCCCTATAATTGTTTAACCCCAAAAATTCTGTCCTTTTGTCAGTTTTCCCAAAGTATCTGTATTTTTCTCTTCTTTCTACAGCTTACTTTGTTCACCTACAAACTTTATACGTATTCACGTGCAAAAAAAATGTAAGCACTGTAATGTAAATTTTAAAAAAGTAAATTTTTAAAAAGTAAATAAGTATTGCTCACAACTAGATATGCCTTGGCAAAATCACCTTAAAAAGAGAAAAGATGAGGGAAACCATCAAAGAAGCTACTGCTTAGTATTTTGAAAGTAGATGAATCTTGGACAGTGTCTAGAAAATCAGAAAACCAAAATTATAAGGAATTCAAGAGACATGTATTGTATGATGCTCTCCCGAAACTTGGTAGAAAAACCCATAAATGTGTCATTCTGCAGCACTAGCATACAGCAAGAAACATGATTCCTTTTAACAGGACCCAGCACAATTCTGAAAGCACCAAAGAGATCAGGAGAGCTATGGCATAGGTATCATGTGTATCTCTTCTGCTGTCTACAGAGGCTCTTGGAAGGGGAACAAAAAAACCAAAAACAAACAAACAAACAAACAAAACAAAACAAAACACACACACAAAAAAAAAAAAAAAAAAAAAACAAACAAAAAAACCAAAAAATGCAAAATAAAAAACCAAAACAAACCAAACAAACAAAAAACAAAACCAAAAACAAACAAACAACAACAAAAAAAAGAGTAAAACCATGTCTCTTACTCTTACTGTGGTTGACAGACAAAGAAATGTTGCAACCTGGATGGCACAGAAGTAATTGCAAAAATATATTTGCAAGAGAAGAAATAAAATAACCCAAATATGATATGGGAAGCATATACCCCCCTTCATTAAGACTCTGGTAATTCTTCTAATTTCATTTATTCAGCAATTGGTGAGCTGTCCTTTTCACCTACAGATATGCTGAGTGTTCTGTAGTTTGGCAACAGATTTACAGTCAATAATATTGATAGTTTCTCTTTACCTGAATTGGGATCTTGCCACTCCTGAACTGTAAGGTTAATAAAGATAATAACTAAATGTGTTCTGTTTAATCCGACCAGAGAGCATATGGGAAATCAAAGAATGAAACATAGAACTAAACTCTAGTTTAGAAACACAGAACTACTGATCTAAATATATCAAAATGCAATGCTACTGCACATGGCTAAATAATTCACTCACCCATAGGCATGCAGCTAATATATTACTATAATGATTTAAGTGTTCCTGAGATGACTCCTTCAAACACAAAAAAGATTAACAACACAAAATGCAGCCTAGAATTTGGCATTTCAGTTCTGGAATGAAATCAGGATGCTGAGAGAAGGAGGTACTTAAATGCTTTGTGGCTTTGGAATATTTCCATTTAATCTCATTAAGCAAAAACAAAAATACTTCCTAAGTGGAGAAAGATTTAACAGCCCTGAACTTTCAGAAGAAACAAGGACACATGTGCAAATTTACAGTGGTTTCCAATTTCTACACAAATATTCAATGAATCATTTAATAAGCATTTCTGAATTCTCAAAGACTAGATATAAATATAATAATTTAATGAACCCATTCTTCAAACTTACTCAAATAATTTTACTTTATTTTAGAAACCCCCATGAATATCTTCAAGACAAATCTTTGGCAAACCCTCAACTGCAGTTAATTATTTTATCCTCTTACAGTTAAACTTTGCTTTAGCTTTGCATGATGTGTCTTCCTGCCAAGATCCGGTCACTATAAGTGTGTACATTTTTCACTGGATTTATCACTGATTTTTTTTTCTTTAAATTATTTTTTAAAAGAAAATAGATGTAATATTGAGGGCAAAAGTCATAGTCATATACTAAGTCCAACATTTCCAGGGTTTTTAAAGTTTCTTGCATAATTTTTCAAGTCACACATGACACTTTTAAATTTTGATGAGGTAAAAAATAGAAGATGCACAAATCCCTTTATTTCTGTTTTTTTTCCCCCCACATTCTGTAACAAAAAGGATTATGAATTCAAATTCAAATAGAAGCTGGCAAAATTTTCCTGTAATTCAGCTGCAGATTATTGATTACAAACTTTCTAAAATCAGAGTACTGTGCTACTCAGCACTTCTAAATTATAGCAGAACTGAGACATTTGGGGCACAGTGCCACTGGTGGAAACACAGGCTTTAAAAAACCTTCCAATAATAACAATACTCACCAAAGTTATGTAGAAATGTCATGTTATCAGAGAGAAAATAGACAGAATATCACAATCTCTTAAAAAGGGAAGAAACTTTAAACTATGTTTGTATTCAAATAGCTGCCATTAATTTTTTTGCTATACAATTTTCCTTTTCTGGTTCTGTAGAGGTAAACTTCTTTTATCGTTTCAGCCATGACTACAGGATATCAGTGGGCCCATAAGTTGACATTCAATTGACAAAAACATCCAAGTTTTACGGCACATACCTCAAAGAAAACTCTGCTGTAGCAAAAGAAAAGAAGATTACTTGTGTTTTGTGATGTGACTGGGTATCTTCTAGTTTGCATTTCAAAATAGGTAAATAAGTCCCAGAGCAGTCAGATGAGGAAGAAAGATGGGTTTATATCCCTTCTCAGAAAATACACACTAGGAATGCTGGATCAGGCTGTGGATCATCAGTACCATGGAAGGAACAAGGTACATGTACTTGGCGTAACAAAATTCCAGTTTAACTAAAAGTTTTCTTCCCCAAAACACATATGGAGGGAAATTAGCAGTGAATGACAACTCACTGTCTTGGTTTCCTTTCACCAGATTTTTTGGATTGGCTTGCCCTAGCTGACAAGTTTGTCTTCCTCAGGAAAAGGAAGCTTTGGACGCTGCTCACAAAGACAGCAGGTCTGCTTTATCACTGCAAGCCTATTTTATAAATTTATTGCAGAATCTTCCTTTTATGTAGAATATTCAAAACAAGTCAGTCCTAAACGTCTTAGAAAGAAGACGAGACAGACCTTAACAGAACAGTGTATCCATTTCCATTTAGAAATTCCTACTCCAGAAAGTACTACTCTATTTGGTTATTAGCTAGATATTGTTATTAGATTATTAGATATATTGTACCTACTGCAAAAACACCGTGGAGTTCTTGTGCCAGCAGGAATGTTATTTCTCCTTCTCAAATACTTGCTGAACTCCTGCAGGCCATAAACAAATTTTCATTCATGATCTCTGTACAGGACTTAATATGAAGGAACTCTCCTACACTCATAATAATAGTATGTGGCAGAAATCAATATTTCGGTGGAAAAAGGAGGGGTTTAAAAGGCAAATTCCAAGCATGCAATTCAACAGTAACTACAGTCACTGTTGAATAACTTTGAGTTATTATCAAAGGAATATATTCTTCAGGTAAGGTAGGATAATCTTTTTAAACATAGTTTTATCATAGTTTTATCACTGCCTTTTCTGGAATAAAGAAGGAAATTTTCCCATTACACCAACTATAAGAGGACAGTGAGAATTTTCCCACTTTCATGGATCCCAGGGTTGTGGTGTTTTTAGAGGACAGAAACATAAGTTTGAATTCTAGTGCTTTTGGAGCTCATTATGGTTCGTGGCTGTTTGTGACTCAGAAGCCTGAGACCAAAGAAGAAAATGAACTTGCACTTCTACCTGCAGTCACTGTGTCAGTCACCACCAGGCAGAAAGAAAAATTTTAGTATCCATACACTGGGCCCATGGAAATTGTTAGATACATTAAGCTAATAAAACCACAATCTGTTTAAATCCTTGCCTGTGCTTGCTTTTAGGTGACTCATGTCTAAACCAGAGATGAGAGTGATTATTTGGAGTCTATCACAAACCTCTGATAGTGGCCAGCTACACAGGAGCTTACACATGACAGGCTATTAGCATATAGCTACATATTTTCTAAGCTCTCTGTTTTTGTAGAGGTGGCAGCTTCACTATACAATTTGCACAAAAAGCAACGTTTTCTAGAAAATAATTCTGAGGGACTTGTGTAATGTGAAAAGCAGAAAGTAATTCTGTTTGTTCTGCAAAACAGTGTAAATTATTCTTTCCCGGTTGCCAAGTAAAGGAAATAGATTATCAAGCTCAATAGTTGCTTAATTTCTTTATGTTGTAATAGTAGTCAGGAAACCAATTTGCTTTGTCTTCAAAATCAATAGCATTGTGTTCTGTGTTCCAGAAAATCAGTCACTGTAATATATTTAACAGGACTTTTTTTTGTTTCAGGATACTTTTTTTCCTTTAGAGTTCATTGTTGCAACAGTTAGGCATTGGAATTGGAAAAATTACATTGGAAAAATTAATTGGAAAAATTACATGGAGTAAAAGATATGCCTGAAAATTCCAAATTCAAAATTAAAATCATTCAGACAACTGTAGTGTGATTATTTCTCAAACATTAAAAAACTGTGCCATAAAATTATTGGTAGGAATGCATCACCCAGGACTGAGAAGTTAGGAAGTGTAGAACTAAGGTGTTGAGAAACCCTTTAATTGCCCACCTTGTGTGTGCAATAGTAGCAGAGTTTTTAATTACATGCACTACTTTTTTTCCCTGAGAATAACTGTCTCACTCCATGCTTACTTAATGACCAGCTACTCAGAATTTTTTTCCTTACAGCATTTAGTGAATGACTCCATGGTATATTTACAACACGTAATTCAAGAGCAACTCCACTAAGGAAATGATGACCTCTCTCGTCAGCTTTCCTGGAAATAAGGTTAATATAGTATCTAAAATAAGGAATAAATTTCTTTTGGAAAAAGACATTACATCTTGCTGATCTTCATGTTGTTGATTTTGACAGCTTCTGGTAAATGAGTGAAGTAGTTTCTAGCTAGTTCCTATACAATTTAATTTCTCTGATTTCAGCGGGGATATATTTCAGTTTTAATTATTGTTTGATTCCAAGCTGTGGATTTATTTTTATTTTATATTTCCTAGAGTTTTGCTATATATAAAGCACTTTTTAAGGTAAAAATATGGATTCCAAATTTTCAGTTCATGATTTGTTCAGATCTTACTAAGTAGTTCCACTAGGCAGACAAACTGTGAGTGCTGAGCAGCTACTGTTACACAGGATTTGAAGGGGGAAGACATATAACCAAGTTTTCCAATAGCAATAAACAAGAAATCATCATTCCTCATTGTGGAATCTTGGAGGAAGAGGGAATAAGAGAAAATATTTCTATTACAATAATTCACACCAGATTTATTCTGAAAGTCTCTGAATTTAAAATTAAAAGAAGCCCACAACTATCTGACTTTATTTTTCAGTGTGTGAAGAGAGAAATACCAAGCTAACATTTCCTTATATTTTTATTTTATGACAGGTTCATGTGTACTTTAACAAATATGTCATTTAGTTTGTAAAGGCTCCACAACTTTGTGAATAGCATGTAAAAACATTATCTTTAAAGCAGTAAACAAGTTTCCTGTCTGACAGCATTGTTAACAGCATTTTTGAGTGTAATTCCTCAGGCACATCTTCAGACCCACAAGGATGTAAAGACTACCATTGTTGGCCATATTAAGCTATTTTTTTATTTACTTTTAACCAAAGATCAGTTGTTTTTTTAACTGCTCTCTGACTGGCTCCACAAAAGCAGTGCTTTTGTCTCTATAAAACTTCCAGAGTTCCAGAAACCAAAATCAACACCTGTGCATACACTGAGGCTCCACTTGAAAGAATACAGATGACTGTCAATTAACTTACTACTTTATGTGCTGTTTATTGTAATATTTTTTCAGTGGTTAAAGAATCAGTCTCAAGAAAGTACATACGAAAAGAAACAAAAGTAATATTTTGCTCATACTAATGAAGACAAGCCATCAAACTTTGACCTTCTCCTTAGATTAATTGTCATGGTCCTGGTTCAAACATGAGTGTCATCAGCAACAGTTTTTTAACATCAATTAGCGGGCATTAAGTAATTAATAATCCTTAATAATTTCTACTGATCTACAGATAAATATTCTCAATCAGTAAAACTGGCAAAAAAATACTGGTATCTGACTCAGTTATAGCAACTCATGAATCCTTTACAACTTGAGGTTGGTATGCTCCAAAGTCCTTTGTAAAACAAAAGCATTTTCTTTGACATTCTAAAACTGTTGATTCATTTTGAAATAATGTCCAATACGTGAAACTTTAAAAGGCGCCACTGGGATTTTGACCCCAAAAGACTTTTTTATTAAGAAAAGAGGACAAAAAAAGAGCTACAGTCTCTCTTTTTTTTTTTTTTTTTTTTTTTTTGTTGTTGTTGATCTGGAGCAATTATATTTCCATCTGTACAATTAGATGAGAAAACCAAAAAAGATCAGTTATTGCCTTACACAAATCATCTATATAGCAAAATATATGCATGGTAGAACCATAATATGACTTTCTCCTTGCTGCAGAAATCTGCATCATTGCACAGCTTTTCCAGATGTTTTAGATGCATTCCCCGTGCATTTATGAGACACAACATTTGTTATCCTATATTGAGCAACCAGATTTACCATTTTTTCAAGGCTTTTTGCAGACACTTTGAAATATCAGAACCATATTCTGTCTAGAAAGAAAGCAGTTGAGTAAAATTACAGCCAATTTATGCAGTTAAAGGTGTACTTTTCTTTAAATGTTTTACAGACCATTCCCTTGTCTGATATTGTAGTTAGTTTGAGGTTTCACTGCAGGTTTTCCAATTAATTTTTCATTCCTTAAAAGTTAACAGCAATGTTTGTGAGATGTTTTGTTTCTAAGTGCTAAATAATAAAAAAAAACCCTGTCTTAAGGCTGTTAATAGAGAGGATATTAGTTTAGAAATATTAGACCTTCACTTAGTCTTAAAGAAGATAGAACATGACTTTAATTTCCAGAGCTATGCAAAAACAGGGCACCCATGCCCACAAGATTTACTCTTACACAAGTATTCCAATTATTTCCCAGAAAGAAAAGAAAAAAACCATCAACTAAAGAAGGGATTTCAGCTGTTTCTATGTATCTTTTCCTGGGCGAGGACTGATTTCAAACTGTTAGGGTTCTTACAAAAGATGAGCTTAAATGGCAGAACTGTAACATCTTTGTAATTAACGAATTTCCCTGCTGTAACACTGAAATAATGTAGAAATATTATTTAACAATTTCTCTCATTATTCACTGTAACAGCTGCCTTCCAGGCAAAGTATGCTACTTACTTATATCTTAAATGCATTGAGAGTACTGGAGAATATCTATGTACAGGAGAAGGAATGAATAAAAACTGAGACGTGAGGGGTGAAGCGGGTCCATGGCTTTTGAAGGGTTTCCTGGTGCAATCTGATTTTATAAATATGAGGATATTATTAGAGACATTTAAATTAACTACAACACTGGAAATCTTCCACCATCCAGTCATCTTGAGGGATTTTGGTCCTGATCCAAGTTTCTTCATGTTTAGAGCACCACAAATACTGTTCCTGTATTCTGGCAACAGGGCTATCAACGTGTAAATTAATCTCGCATAAAAACCAGCACAACAAATTCTTGCACTTAATCTTGAACCCAGCAGCGAGAAAACTGAAGCTTCAGTCATTCCAAAGGAAAATAGAATTTGCTGTTTGGATCACAAATAACATTGTGGGTGCAAATGATTATTTTCAATAAAATAATGGGATATTTTACTGAAAGATTTATCTGTGGCTTTTTGCTTCAAGGCAAATAGAGAATGTCTGCCTCTACTGGCACAGGGCAAATATCTTTAAGCAAATTATGAAAATCAATGTTAGTTACTCTAAAAATACATTTCTACTTACTAAAAAAGCTAGTTCATCTATTGTTATTTGCACTGCCATATTATACAGAGATCCCATTCAGTTTACAATGTCAGTAGCCCTGAATAGTGGAAAGGCTATTATCCTATCAGCAAAGAGTCTAAGGAGTAATAAAGAGTGGTAGGATAACAAAAAGTATGTGGAAAAATATGGGCCATACAGGTTCAGTGATTACGTAGCAATGGAATGTATAAAGGGAGGCAAAATTTTAGCATATTTCTGGTTTTTTTCTTTTCGTGGAACTCCAACTGCTTCTTCACTCTCTTCAATCCAGTACCATTTTCAGTGTGGTAGAGGCATAAAAAATTTCAAATAGTATGCCATTACAAGTGGAAGAATGTAAGAAAGGAGTAGGATCAATATATTAAAATACTACAACTAGCAAATATTTGGGAAGGTATTTTTTGTCTGTGAAGTTCACAGTACAAATAGCATGCTGGTTTTACTGTCAGCAGTTTCAGTGAGGTACATTAGTTAGTTTAGACATTTGGAGTAAAATGTGTATCTCAAATTTGTAATTAAATCTTAGGATGTCAATATGTGTTGCCTCATGCTTGACTAAGATGAAAAACTGCATATGGCATTCAACATTGAGTTTTAATTGCATCCTAGTTAAAAAGTATCAAGTCTGGCTTTAAAGCCAAACCAAACAAACAAAATAACAAACAAATTAAACCCCCTAATCTTCCTCAAATATTTTGTGTGGTTGAAGAGGAACTTACTTTTCTTGAAAACTGTGTTAATTGCATCTAATTGCCTAATGTCAGAAGGAAAAGCAGTGGAATTACACTAACAGTAAAATCCAATATTAGCAAACTGTTCCATTCAATTATACAATATTTCTGTCTTTGACAAAAAATATTATTTTAATTTGATGGAGCAGTGATCATTTTGTTACTGCAGAGACTGTATCTTCCCCAGGGCTTGTTAATTATTTCTTTCAAGTCCATCAAGCCAGTTGATCATTATTCAACTTTGTTTCTGTTCTATAATCCAAGTGATTTTTAAAAGTACACAAAATTTCACTTGCAGAAGGTGTGAGGTCCCAGCCTTAAGGGGGAGGGAACTCCCAAGATTCATAGATGCTCGTGGTTGAAAGGAACAGTAGAAGTCAGAGGGCCCGCAAAAGTTTACAAAGTTCTATTGGTAAATTATACACTTGGCATGGAAATAATTATGTTAGTGCTTGATTTCCTGGTACAAGCACATGGAAGAAAGAGAAAAAGAAGGGAGGAAAGGAAAGAAGGAAAGGAAAGAAGAAAAGGAAAGGAAGGGAGGAAGGAAGGAAGGAAGGGAGGGAGGGACGGAGCAAGGAAGGAAGGGAGAGAGGGAGGAAGAAAGGAAGGGAGAGAGGGTGGGAGGAAGGGAGGAAGGAAGGAAGGAAGGGAGGGAGGAAGGAAGGAAGGAAGGCTTCTTGGGGATACCTTTTCATAGATAAGTTTTCCTTGCCCTGGAGAAAAGTTTCTCACTTTCTGTGCAGATTCTTTATGATATGCAGTCCATTATTCTCGATCTCTCTGGGAATGTGTTGGAGGACTTCAGGGGTCTTTGATGGTCTTGATCCTTGCCTACAGTCCATGCCTGCTTCTGGCCTCACTCCTGCACTTGTGTTGTGTTGTGTTAGGCTTACCTTGTCCTGGAAGTGCTGCTCTCTTTCTATATGGGTCCCTTCTCCAGCCACATCCTGTGATTTCTCACAGTGTTATTAACAACAATCCTTAGCTGGCTCCATAGACTTTCAACCATTGGTCTTTAAGACATGTACATTAGCCCCCTTATCTTCCAGGCTTCTACAGAAGGCAAATCAAAACCTTGGAATTCAGTGAGAGTCTGGGGAGGAAGGAACAGGAAGGTGATAACTCATCATGTTGCTGGCATTAATCCTTTTGCATTTCTTAGAGAGATTTTTGTGATTATCTGGACAACTAAGGTCATGCAAGA